TGCCGTGGACCCAATTTTAAAAAAAACTTTACCTCCCACACATGCAAACCGATACAAAATATCCTTTTTCGTTTTTAAATAACAGTCTACCTTTTGTGGTTTTGCTTGTGGTAAAATTGAGGACAAAATTCACATATTTACCTATTGGCCTCCTTCTGTTGAAATATGGGAGTATTTTAAACAAGTATATAACTCCTTGACATCTCAAAACAGTTTTTCTCCGATAAGTTCGATTTTCTCGATTGAAACAGCAAATCTATTGGAGAAAAATCCAATTTTGCAGCTGCTGTTGACACTCACTCAAACCATGATGAGTGCAATATGTCATCATATGTTTAGCAACACAAAAATTGATCCAATGGCAGTGATCAGGGTAATAAATAGAGCAGCCGTGGCGCAGTGGTTAGAGTACTGGCTCAGAACCCAGAGATCCGAGGTTCGACGCCAGCTCCAGCCCAAAAAGCGACAGTGGTACGGAAGGAGGCGTGAACTTCCTAATAAATGCTCTCCCACGGTGCTCTATAATAAGACCGTAAAGACTTCTGGGAGCACCTAAATACATCCAAAAAAATATATATATATATATATATATATATATAATCAGGAATGTCAGAAATATTATTACTTTACAATATAATTATTATGTCCGTAGAAACACTGCGGACATTTTCTGTAAACATTTTTGTATTAAGAACGTTATTTGCCAAGTAGAGAATGGGAATCTAAAACTAAACATTTGAGCTGAAATAAAACAACGGCTCGAAGCAAGATCTGCATGTTTAGTAAAGTTTTCCTCTTCTCTGCAAATATTTTTCTTTTTTTTTATACAACAAAATTATTGTTATTTATGATTAGACAACCATTGTCAGCCCTTATTTTATGTTATATATTTTTAACATATAACACGGCTGTTTCACTCAATATAAAAACGAGCGTGACGTCATGAGTTTATCAAAAAAAAAAGTATTTCCGCATAAAAAGTATAAAAATTCACAAACTTTAAATTAATAGTAACTTTTTTATATAAATGTTTTCATCTTGCATTTAAAAAAATATAAAAGATCTATCTTTCCTTGTTAAATAAATATTTACATTAATTGGTATAAAAATAAATATTGCCAAAATATTTTTAATAATTTAGAACCACTTTTCTAATTTTCGCATATTTTCCGCAAAACATGAGTTGGGCCAACTAAGATTTCATAACATAGCTTAGTGCTTGATAGTTGAAATTTGGAATGCTTAACCCTAAATGCCCATTCTATCAGATTCTTGCGTCATCCTAGAGATTTTTTTACAAAAAGACTGTTTTTAAAGCATTTATATTTTTTAATTAATCGTTTTTAAATGCAAAACATAAATTTTTTGATGGATGACGTAAGTTAATGAAATTTCAACCTTTTATGCAAATGAAAATAAAAAATTATTTTACTTGCCTTCAGCTATGTTATGAAATATGTTTTCAAAAATGTCATGTTTTACAACTAATCTTGTTAGTTTTAGGCGTACATTTGTGTTGACGTTTTTTTTGCGATGACGTAACCTTTATGCGTTACGTCCCAAACTATTTATTAACGAATATTCTCCAAACAACTGTTTCGGCGAGTCAATTTTTGAAGTATAAAGTAAACAAAGTTACGCGGAATTTTTCTCTTTGGATTATCAAACTAATATCAGATAAGTTGTTAAATCCACTTTTTTCTTGTGCATATATTTGTTAATTAATATTATTTTATTTGTTTTTATTATATTGATTAATAAGTCAATATTATTTTGATAACTATGTATTCAACTGAGAGGGAAATTCTAAAACAACATATTGGATGGAAAAATGGTTGGGAAGATAGGTGTAACTTTCCTTTTGTTAAGCGATTAATTAGGACAGATAAGATCAGTAACAATGTCATTTCCATTTTAATGACAGTCTTTAAAATAAGAAGTGATTTATTTAGTTTTATGAGTTTTCTTTCGCCAATTGATTTTGATATGCCTAGTAATGACGAGTTTGATAAAATGTGCCTAAAGTTAACACGACAAAAAAAGAAATATAAAAAAGATTTTAAAGCTATAAAAAACGAAGAATTTTTTAAAATGCAACTGTCGCAAGCTCCACCCAAAAAAAAAAAAAATCAGCAGATGCAGATGACTTTTTCACTTTAAATAACAGTCAGGAGCTACTGAATCAAATTGATCAATTAACTTCTGAAAATAAAACAAATATGGAGCAAATAGAAAAATTTAAAATGCAAGTATTTAAGTTGGAAGCTGAAATTACAGATTTAAATTCTAAAAATAGGGCTCTCAACACACATTGTAACTCATTAAGTTCTCAATTAGAGACTATGAGTATTAGGCTAAAACAGGAGGAGCAGTTCTAACTTTTTTTTAAAAAAAAAAAAATTAAAACAGCACAGCGTAAATTTGCATCTGCTCGTGCCAAAAATGTAAGATTGCTATAAAAAATTATTATTGAAAAAAAGAATTGCAAAAATTAGTGATTTAAGCCAGAACAGTTGCTAAATTTGCAAATGTTTTGCTAGTTGCAATAAGGATTTAGTTGGTTGATTCTTATTTAGACTACGACAACATTGGTTCCTCTGAATTATTTTGTGGGTTTAAATTAAGTAATCCACAGAATATATCAGTTAAAAAGCCAATAGTTAGTAAAAAATATACTTACATTAAGTTAGGAAATGGTAAACCTTATTCTAAGTTAGGTAGGCATGCTGCAGCTAAACGATCTAAACTTGCTTTTATATTCCTTCGATTATTAGCTTGTTCAGATTTAGAAAGTGATTTGTCTATGTTGTTTTGTGATTCTATGTCTTGTGAAAAGTCAATATTTTGTTGTGTTGCAAATAAGTTGGGCTTAGTTAAGCAGTTAAGTGTTTCTGATGCTGTAGAGCTGCAGAGCCAATTAAGGATGCCCACGGCTGAATTCCGTAGACTAAGACGTATTCTGTGTAATCTTGGTGCAAGGATTCTCCCATCTGAGCCCAAGATGAGACAAGAACAAGAAATGCGGACAATGCATGTCAATAAAGAACATGTCACTGTGAAGTCCATGTTACTTTATCCATCTGCGAATGAAGCACCTTGTTTAGTATCTGTACTGATGGTCAAGAATTTGACAACTTATATTGAAGAGGTTTTTACTAATCTTTATGTACGCGACCACCTTAATTCGGATGTCGGTTTTGGCGAAGAAGTATGGCTCCTTTTTGCTGGTGATAAGGGTGGGAAATATATGAAATTCCATTTTGAAGTTGTCAATTCTAAATCATCAGGGTCTGTATACGATGTTCACTTGTTTTGTATGTATCAGGGTTCAGACTGTCGTGAGAATATAGCCTTAGTTCTCAGGCATTTTGCCAACGACATTAAAAGAATTCAGTCGTCAGATTTTAAGCTAAAAGGCAAAATAGTCAGGTTGTTCTTAGGTGGAGATTTTCATTTTATCGATGATGTTCTGGGACACCAGGGTTCAGCTGCTAGCTTTCCTAGTTCTACAGACCTAGTTAAGTTGAATTCTCTAAGAAACCATGCTTCTATGCCTCACACACCTGCTAATTGTAACATCTTAAGGAGGACAATACAACCTCTGGAAAGTGCTTACAATGAGAACTTGTGTGAAAATAGACAAGGTGGAAACATAAGAACTTTAGGTAAGTTTCATAATTCAATTATTGCTCCTGTGATTTTCCCCATAATAACTTTAGATAATGTAGTGCCACCTGTTTTGCATATTATGTTAGGAGTTGTGTTAAAACTGTATAAGTTATTGTTGAAGGAGTGTAAGACTTTAGATTGTCAAGCTGTTTCATCTTTGTCGCATAATGAGAATGTGAGAACGAATGAATTGTGGGCTGCTAAAAGCGTTGAATGTTCTAAAACAGCAGAAGCTTTACGTTTATTAGGAAATCAATTTGTAGACGTTGCAAATCTACGGGCGCGTTGGTTAGCTTTTAATAAAAATATTTCTGAATTATCTCTAAACTCCTCCAATAAAAAAATAACCTTTAAACAGCAAGAAATGTGTGATAGTATTAGGTGTTTAATTACAAAATACGATTGTAACATTGATTGGGTGCAGTGTGGTACGTGCCAAAAATTGTTTCATCAATTTTGTGAAACTATTGGTGATTCGGAAAAAAGTGTATTTTGTGACATTGAGAAGTATGAGTGTTTAGCATGTCAGGGGGAAGATATAGAATGTCTTGACCTTTATATTTCTGAAAAAATTTCTTTTATACGTGCACAACGCGAAGTTTTAGACACTGAATATATTAAATTGCAGGTGGAGTGTGAAGAACTAGAAAAAATATCCAAAAGTAGCATGGGGACTCATGAGAGGTCTCTTAATAAAGACATTGAAGATATGAAGGTTGAGCGACAAGCGTACCACGGTAATGTGTTCGTAGGTCATTGCAAAATAGTCTTAAGAAACCACTATAAACTTTGTAGTGTTATTGATGATGAAGCTATTAAAAATAGATTTGTACGTGTGTTTAGTGTTTTTAATAAGTTGCAACCTATTCTATTTAAGCGAAAATTTCTTTCAGATGCCGAAATTACTGAGCTTCATCAATATATAAATTTATTTGCTATCGAATTTCATGATTGCTTTCCAAAAGAAAGTATCACGCGAAAAATGCATGAACTCATTTTTAATGTGCCACTATTTGTAAAATTGCATAAAACTATTGGGTTGCTGAGTGAAGAGGAGGGAGAGTGTTTGCATAATAGCGTAAATAAGGAATTAAGACAGTTGCATTCAGTAAGAAATCAGGAGCAAAAGCTGCATCTTGTTTTAAAACGCTTTGAATTGCACAGCAAAGCTGATAGGAAGCTTCAAGCCTCTAAGGTGAGAAAGTGTGTTGTGTGTTCTGAGCGTGGCAAAAATTCATTTTAAAGACAAGGTCTTTGTCTTGTTTGTGGTCATCAAATTTAGTTAAAATATTTAAAAAATTAATAACAACAACAAAAAAAAATTTAAAAGTAAGATAAATTATATGAGATCTTTAATTTGTATATAAGATAATTTTATTTTGTTCTAATATCTGTGTGATGTTAGTTTAAAATATTATTTTTTAATATATTGATTTTATATATTAGGTAGGTGCCCATTCTGTTCCTAGCTTCAGAAGTTATTTATACCTATGCAATACCTTCGCTCAGGTTAAAGAATGGAATACTATTCTTGCATCAAATGTATGTAAAAATCTAGCTTTTATATATTAACTTGTGATCAGAGCAACTAGTATGTTGGTTGGGTATGATCTGTTATGTTTGTGTATTTAATTTAAAAGATGTATTGTTCTTCATTATATGTAACATTTTTATATAGATATATTACATATCCATTCGATGTTTATCACCAGAAGTTAGTTCTACCTTTGCAGTACCTCTGCTTTACATACCTCCTCGCTGATTAAAGAATGGAATATAAATCTCATATCAAGTTGGTGTAAAAATTTAGTTCAATAAATTAAGAATTTATAAACGTTCTCAAAATTTTGAGTGGAGCAATTGTTTTTCTGGTTTAGCATGAGTATGAATCTGATATCAATTGTATGTACAAAGATAGTTTACTTCTTAAAGAACCTATCAGTAAACCAACTGATTATAAAACAGTTTTTAATGGGAATAAAAACAAATTTTCAAAAGATTTCAATTAGCTATTTGTATATTCAAACACTTTATTTACTGAGAGAAGAGACTATAGATTCAAGTGCTATAAAATAATTCTACTACCAAAAGCGAGGTTAATTCAAAAACTGAAACTCAAATTTGGTCATGAATTATTTTATTAGACTTGGTGAGTCTTTATTTATTAACAACTTAACACCATATTATTAGAACTGTATGCACAGAAAAAAATAAATGCTTTAGCTTTAAATGTTTTGACTAAATATTCCAAAATCGAAATCTGGCTTTTTATTGCAATGCAATGAACTTATTGGCTTAGGATAATAAGTTTCTAAAACAAGAACTTTTAGGTTTAAAAATGTACTCTTTTAACAGCTAATCCCCCATTTAACTACATTTTTCATAACTTTGCGAAAAGTGCGGTTTGCTTTCAGACCTCATTAAAGTCTGTTTTAGCCTTAAACAATTAAGTAAGGTTTTTTTGTTTTTATAATAGTCAAACAATGGGTATATTTGAGATTAACTATCAGAAATAAATTTTTCTGATTTTTTTTTTTGATAAAAAGTAACATCAAATTACTTGAATTCAGCCAACGTCATCATTTGTCGCGTTTTTTTAAAACTTAAAGAAATTTTTTTACAATGCATTAAATGTCATAAGATGAAACATTTTATTGGTGTTATTATTCTTTTTACAAAACAAAATTATCTTGATTATTTTAAAAGTTATAGAAGTTTTAGTAACACCCTTTTAGTCAATATTTTCAAAAAATAACAAGAAGCCGTTAAGCTCGGTTTGAAACAGCCGTGATAAATGTTATCTGTAGTGTTCGAAACGTAAAGTTTGTGTAAAAGTCCTGTAATTTTTTATTTCTTTTTATAAAAATTTTTTTTCTTTCAAAAAAAAACTTTTAACATATTTTTAATATCTTATTTTTAGACTTTATCTCGATTTCTTTCCGTTCAACGGCCCTAAAATAAAAATCAAAAAAAAAATAAAAAATACAAAAAAATATAAAATCAAAAAATACAAAAAAAACAAACATTAAAACTACAAAAAAATTAATACATTAATATAAATATATATTGTTAACAAATATGGATAGAGCGATGCATAAATTCTGAAACAAAGCAGTGTTAAATATTCTAAAACCTTTTGTTATAAACTTATAAAAATACTATTATATATATGTATATATATATGTATATATATATATATATATATATATATATATATATATATATATATATATATATATATATATATATATATATATATATATATATATATATATATATATATATTATTATATTATTTTAATTATATTTCATCTTATTTTATGCCCAAATAGTTATTAAAAAATGGTAAAGTATTTATTATTTTGTAATAAAAAATAAATAAAACAAAAACGTATATATATATATATATATATATATATATATATATATATATATATATATATATATATATATATATATATAATGCTGATAACACATACGTTTAACACTAAAATTTGATTTTAGTGTTAAACGTATGTGTTATCAGCATTATTTCATCAAGTGAAAAACACTTTTGTTCTCAACATAACCTTATAAGCAAGCTATGAAACTGTATTCTTTCTAAAAATTGTCCTCTGGCGCAAAATCGCATAGATGCATAAAAGGTACAACCGTATACATATTTATCGTAGTAAATTAATATGATAATGTAATAATCGTAATTCTTTATGATAATCGTAATTATCACAGATAATTACGATTGACAATATTGTTTTATAGTCTTAGCTTTACATTTTATTCAAAAATACAAAGCTATATCATTTATAAAAATTAAATATAAAAATACGAAATCTAATTTCCAATTTATCAAAAAAAAAACTATTTCTATTCAAGTTTTTTATATAATTGTATTCAACTGTTACGATTATAATTGTTGTCAACCGTAATTATCTGACTATAATTTAATAATATAATGCCCTCAATTTGAACTAATGGACCTACACTATCACGGGAAAATCATCCCTAATACCATGACATAACCACCTCTTTATTTTACGGTTCGTACAGTGTACTGGGGGTTTTCTCTTTTATTTTTGGACATCTAGCATACTTATTACCTCTAGTGAAAACAATTTACATTTACTTTTATCACTCCTCAACACTTTACCCCGGTTTTGTTTAGTCGAGTTTAAATGCTCTTTGGCGAATTTTACTCGAGCTATTCAATTCTTTTTTTAAATCAATAGTTTTAGACTAGGACGTCTACCGAATAAATTCTATTACGCAAACGTCTTTTCACAATTGACTCAGTTAACACAGCTGATATTTTTACTTAGGAGTATTTGTTGTATTCAGAAGTAATTTGCGGTCCACTAAGGGGACTAACACCTTTTGACAGTTGACGATCGTCCCTATTAGTAGTTTCTCTCGGTCAATCGGATCTGGGTTTTGTTTCTAAAGTTCTCCTGCGTGCTTTTATATTGATTTATGCTGTTTGGGTACTCCAAATTGACGAGCAGTATTCGCTTTTATAATACCACAAAAATTAACTGCATTTACTACTGAATTACGAAGATTTTTTCTACACTCCTTGTTTTCTCATTTTTGATTATAATTTTTATAGCTTGTAAATATAAGAATTTATAATATATATATATATATATATATATATATATATATATATATATATATATATATATATATATATATATATATATATATATATATATATATATATATATGTATATATATATATATATATATATATATATATATATATATATATATATATATATATATATATATGTATATATATATATATATATATATATATATATATATATATATATATATATATATATATATATATATATATATATATATATATATATATATATATATATATATATATATATATATATATATATATATATATATATAGGGGAAAGCGGGGCAACATGGCGAACGTTTTGAAAGCCCTGAGTTATTGAAAAACTATAAGTCGTGAAGCCATAATACTTTCTCAGTATGTTTATGCTATTAAGTTCTTTCATTGCCTGCATGAATTTTCAGTTTGCAAATATAAAAATTTGAAATAAATATTAAAATAAAAAGTTCATAAATTTGTCATCTAGTCACGTGACTGGGGCAAGATGACTTATTATGCAATTTTTACCTCCAATTTTTTAAAATTTTAAAAACTGTCAATAACTCTAATTAAAGTAACAAAAAATAAACACAAATTGCAAAAACTACTTCTAAAGAAGTTAAACTTGAAGGACACCAACCATTATGAGAAACCGAATATGAGGAATTTTTTTTTAAGCGCAAAAAGTAAACTTATTTGTATAAAATGGCGTTAATAATATTTCAAAAAACCAATTGGTGTTTTAAAATACAAGATGCAAATACAGTTTCATTTTCACCCAATTTTAAAATTTTTTGTTGAGTTGTTATATGAAAACCCATCTTGCCCCATTCGCCATGTTGCCCCGCTTTCCCCTATATATATATATATATATATATATAATATATATATATATATATATATATATATATATATATATATATATATATATATATATATATATATATATATATATATATATGTATATATTTATATACTTTATAAATAAATATATATATATATATATATATATATATATATATATATATATATATATATATATATATATATATATATATATATATATATATATATATATATATATATATATATGTATATATATATATTTATTTATAAAGTATATAAATAAATATATATATATCTCGATTTAGGAAAAAGAAATTTGGATAAAATTAAACACAATTTGTTTCTATTAATGACTCAAAATCTACCCTTCTAAAATGTTCTAATGGTGTTCCTCAGGGTTCAGTATTAGGACCACTGCTTTTTCTTCTTTATATTAATGATCTTCATACATCCATTAAGTTTGCTACTGTTTACCACTTTGCTGATGATACTAATCTAACACTAATTAATAAATTTAATTAATAAAACACTAATTTACAATTTCTATTCTATATTTTTTATTGATTATTGTTATTTTGTTATTTTTACTAATATTTACTATTGATAACTACTTTTAACTTTTATTATTACTAATACTAATATTGTTGTTATTGTTATTATTATTATTATTGTTATTATAACATCGTTATTTATATTACATCGTTATTTTTATGTTATAAAGTTTATTATCGTTATTATATATTGTGAAAATTAGCATTATATTTATTTTAATTAGATATTATTAACATTATTAGGTGTTTACTTTATACTAGTATATTTACTATTTGTAAACATCCTTGAATGTAAAACCTTAATTCAGAAATAAATGATTGATTGATTGATTTATAAATATATATATATATATATATATATATATATATATATATATATATATATATATATATATATATATATATATATATATATATATATATATATATATATATATATAAATATATATATATATTTTAATTTCTGGGTAAGTTTTGATAGTTTCGACTTGTTGTTATTAGCTTCTTTCTCTATCGTGTCGAGTTTATCAGTAATAATTTTAAGGTTTGCACTCATTATCAATGTAAAATTTTTCCTGCTCTTTAAGTAATTGCTCAGTTTCTTGAAGCTTTTGTGTTCTTCAAGCTTATTTACAATCATTGTTTCGATATTCTTCATTGTTATTTCCGTTTTGTACGTAAAAATTTATCGCTAATAAAAAACACGTCTTACTCCCGTAAGTTGCAGCGCAAAAAATATAAATTTTTTTTAATTTTATTTAGGTGCCACCACTCCTTACGGTCTTATCACAGAGCACTGCGGATGAGTATTTAATTGAAAGTTTACGCCTCCTTTCTAACCGATGTCGTAAAACTTACCCAGAGATGGGGTTTGAATTACAGATCCTTTGTTTCTGATGCAAGTGCGCAACCAATGCGCCACGGCTGCTCTCTTTCTCTCTCTCTTTATATATATATATATATATATATATATAT